GGAGCTGGGGCGGGGCCGCGGGGCGCGTGCGATCCAGCCGCCCAGGGGTAGAGCCCGAGTGCACTGCCCTTTCAGCGGCACAGATGAGAGTTTGACAGCCTTCCCTCCGCAGATACCCTAGGTAAACGTGTGGCTGTGAAATGCCTGAGAAGGACGGAGCCACAGTCAAAAGCGAGGCTGTGCACTGCGGAGTTTGTGAAGAACGCTGTTCACAGTTAGAGGAAGGAAAAGCTCTTATTTATCATTGGGGGTTGAATCCAGGGCCTGGGCCCTGAGCTACGTCCTTACTCCTATTTGAGAAAATGTGAGACAAGGTGTGGCTAAATTGGCCAGTGTAAATCACAAACAATAACGGAATAAATGGGAGAGGAGCAAGAGAAAATTTGCATCCCGTAGTGTAAGGATATTAATTTTGCGACTCTTGTTTTGCAGGTATATCCTGATCCATGCCTTTTATTCCTCCTAGAAAATGTATCCCTAATTTGTTTGTGAAGCCCCTACCTCATCACGCCCTTCAAAGTATACTTTACTGATTTCTTTTTTTTTCCAGAAATTCTTTTCCAAACTTTAACAAATTATTTTTCTTGACCTTATGCCTTTATTTCCCCAAGTAACCTGTTTAAATGTTGATGCTTCATCTTCTGTTTGCTTTTGTTGTTGTTGTTTTGTAGTTTGTTTGTTTGTTTGTTTTGGTACTGAGAATCGAACTCAGGACCTTGCCCTTCCTTGCCAGGCAGGTGCTGTGCTGCAGAGCTATATTGCCGGCCCTTCGGTTTGCTTTTAACATTTGAAATTTTCTTCCATTATCTTTATGACCCTGATCTTTACCATGAACTTCAGTTACTATTGGCCTGCCGAATATCTGTAAATTTTTAATAATTTAGCTTTGGGGCAAACTTCAAAAATGATATGTTCAACAAATTGTGTGTAGCTAGCTGCTGTAACTAAAAATGCCAGTGAATAAAGTGATTTTTTCCCAAATCACATAACAGATTAGTCAGGCAGGGACAGTCGTCAGTGGGTCTAAGATCCATACATCCCTTAGAACACACGTCAACAAATGTTTTCTGTAAAGGGCCAGAGAGTAAATATGTTATGCTTTATGACAGGGTCAGCTTGCCTTCGCTAATTATGCCTCTGCAACTGTAGTTCCACTTTAAAATAAGTGGGGGTGGTTATGTTTTGGAGAATATTTTTTTAAACAGAAAGCCTGTGTCATTTGACTTGAAGGCTATTTGCTACCTTCTGCTACAGAACCTCCTGCAGCTAGTTAATAGTTGATCCAAAAGAAGGCACACCTTCCAAACTACGGAGCCTAGAGTTGACATCTGGCATATTCTCTACCAGATCCTTGGCACGAATGAGGTCACATTAGATAAAAGGGATGAGGCTGGAGAGTGCATTCCCTGGCTGGCCAGGCACCTTTACAGAATTACACAATTACAGGAAGGATGAGTAAGATTGAGGTTTTTTTGTTTATTTGTTTGTTTTTGTCTTTTTTGTGACAGGGTCTCACTATGCAGTTCAGACTGGCCTGGAGCTCACTTTGTAGCCCAGGCTGGTCTCCAGTTTGCAACAATCCTCCTGCCTCAGCCTCCCTAGTGCTGGGATTGCAGGTGTGCGTCACCACACCCAGCAAGACTGAGGTTTTAAGTAGCTGTGTCTGCCACAAATTATATTCCCCTTAATTTGGGTCTCTTTTTCCATCAGTATATCTACTTATCCTTATAATAACTAGAGTATTATATAGAATTTATGATCTTTAAAAAAATTAAACCCCTTTTGAAACAAAAATCTTAGAATAAAATATGTCTGAATACTAAACAGCAAAATTGAAATGCTCTCTGAGCTGGGGATGTGGCTCAGTGGTAGAGCTCTTTCCTTGCATGCACAAGGCCCTGGGTTTGGTCCCTGGCACCACTAAAAAAAAAAAAAAAGTTAAATATTTCTGGAATTAAAGCAGGGCTGGGAGAGAAGGGATGATGGAATGCTGTCTGCTCAGCCTTTCCCTTGACAGATATAATGGATGTAGGTTACTTTGGTGTAGTATCATGCAACTACAACGTGAAAACGTAATGCTACAGCATTAATACTGTAATAACATATCTATAAAATCATAGAAATTGCCATTTTATTGTTTTTAATCATCTGAAATGTAAGGGCTTCCAAATTATTCTTAACCAACTTTTTCTTTTTTGGTGGTGGTGCTGGGGATTGAATTGAGAGCCTATAGGATGCTAGGCAAGAAATGTACCACTGAGCTAAATCTCCAGCCCTTCTTTACCAACAATTCTGTTAATGTCCTTGAGTAATAGAAAACAGAGAGAGAAAGAATGAAAAAGTAAAAAACTTATTGAATATATCATTTATGAAGATATTAAGGGAATTCATTGTACAGGACTTTATCCTACTTTTGTCTGCTTCTTTCATTTAAATTGAACTTATTTAGCTTCCTCAATTTCTTTGTTTGTATGGGGTTTTTTGTTTGTTCTTTTTTTTGAAGACTGGATCTCACTATGCAGTCAGGCTGATTTGAACTCACTCACAGTTCGTTTTTATGTTTGTTTGTTTCTTTGTCTTTTTTGAGTCAGGGTCTCGATATGCAGTTCAGGCTGGCCTTGAGCTCACTTTGTAGCTGAGGCTGGTTTTGAAGTTGAAGTGATCCTCCTGCCTCAGCTTCTTGAGTGCTGGGATTACAGGCACGTACCACCATGCCAAGCTCCTTGATTTCTTTATACACCTCATTGCTTCAAACAAGTAAAGTATGATCAGCTTTGAACTTCCTTCTTTTGATTTTTTTTCTGTTTCAATATGACACTTTTTTTCTTTTATGAGCAAAATAAGTAACACTATCATTAGAGTTGAGTCATGACAGCACTATTCTTAAAAGGAAGAAATAATCCACTGAATTTTCCCTGGAATCAGTTTTGTTAGTAAAAAGAAAAAAAAATGTTCTCAATAAAGGCTATCAGTAAGAAGAAAGGTTGAATCCTTTCAGGAGTTGGTGTGATTTGGTTATGTTGTCAGCAAACAACTGTTCAGTGGCTGCTTTGTGCAGAGCAGTCAGAGGAACGTGACATGAGTTTGTTGTTGTTCTTGTTTTAAAACAGGGTCTCTCTACACCCCAGGCTGGCATGTAGTCCAAATTGGCTTTGGACTCTAAAACCTTCTCCCTTGGCCTCTCAGGTGCTGAGATTACAGGTGTATGCCACCGTGATCAGTTTTTGTCAAAGAGATTTTATTTTTATAGATATTTATTTTTTTCAGACAGGGTCTTGCTATGTAGTGTAGGCTAGCCTTGAACTTGATCATGTAGCCCAGGCTGGCCTGGAACTCACAACAATGATCCTCCTGCCTCATCCTCCTGAATGCTGAGATCACAGATGTTCGTCACCACACCTAGCTGTCGAAGAGATTTTTAATCAAGAAGGAAAAAATGAAACTAATAGTAATTTACACATAGATGGCCATTTAGTTGATGAGATTAAAGTTATTACAAAGAGTAAAACAAAAATTTGGCGAGAAATGCATAAAAAAGTACATATAATACTAGCCCACATGAGGGTATATGTGTTGGTTCATGCTATAATTTCTCTATTCACCAAATGTTTTATGAAGTGACTACTAAATGCCAAGCATGGTGAACCAGCAAAGGAGATACATATAGTCCTTGTTTTCGTCAATGTTTAGAGCAGCAATATCAGCTTCATAGGAAACTTGTCAGAAACAAATTCTCAAGCCCTGTCTTTAAAAGTGGGCCCAGAAATTTGTGTAGTGACAAGACCTTCAGGTTTATTTTATTTATTTGTTTATTTATTTATTTATTTATTTATTTATTTGAGACAGGGTCTTGATCTTGCTTATGTAGTTCAGGCTGGGTTTGCATTTGTGGTGGTCCTCCTGCCTCTACCTCCTGAGTGCTGGCGTGTGCTACCATGCCTGGCTCTTTCATGTGATTTTGATACATGGTAAAATTTTAGAAATCCTAGTTTAAAAAAAGGAAAATTTTATGGCTTAATAGAGGTGGGAGAATTTGGAAAGAATCCTGTAATTGAGAGTTTAAGGAGTAGAAGATGACTTCCTAACTGGGAGAGAGCCCTCCACACTTAATCAGAGATACTATCTGTTACAGTTTATATGTAGATGTCCTCCTAAAGCCTCAGGCACTCATAAGTGGGGCTTTTGGGAGGGGATTGGGTCATGGAGTCATGATCTTCATCTGTGGCTTAGTCCACTGATGAGTTTATAGCTAAACTGGATTTTGGAGGTGAACCTCCTTGGAGGAGGTGGTCAGCTGGAGGTGTGGCCTGAGGATCTATCTCCTTCCCTCCTCCCTTGAACCTTCTTTGATTCCTGCTGGCCATGCCATGAGCAAGCCTCCTCTGCTGTGCCCTTATGCCACAGTACCCTGCCTTGGAGCCAAGCAACCATGGACTGAAACCTCTACAAACTGTAAGCCAAAATAACTAACTTGTAGATGTGGGATATTTTATCTCAGCTATGAGAAAGTAACTAAGAGTATTGTAGTAGTATTTCCTTAATGTTTCCTGTATCCCTCTTCTTTCCATTGCCTTAGTCTACACCTTCATCCTTTTTCATCCAGCCTTAACTTTCTTTTCTATGTCCATTGCCTTCTTTCCAATCCACCCTGTTCACTGAGATTTTTCTAAAGCCCACATCTGATATTGTTTTCTATACAGAAAGTTTTCTATAGCTTCTTTTGCTGACATTTTTTGAGACTGGGTCTCACTCTGTAATTCAGGCTGGCTTTCAACTCTCAGCAATCTTCCTGCTTCAACTGCCTGAGTGCTGGGATTACCACTATGATTGGCCCCTTGCCCACATTCTAAAAGTTAAGTGGTTTGGGGAGCCAAATAGGTAACAAATGTATGCAGTGGTTTCATTCAAGAAAAACAGGAGTAGAGGAGATTCTGGTGAAGGAAATGAGAGTTTACCATAATCTTCCTAGTGGAATTTAGATTCAATAAAAGAATGTTCCAGAGCTGGCACTGGTGTAGTAGCACACACCTATGATCCCAGCACTCAGATGGCTGAGGCAAGAGGATCACCATGAGTCTGAGGCCAGCCTGGGGTACATGGTAAGACCTTGACTCAAAAAAATAAGTTTCATTCTAAATTAGATCAGGGCTGCTGGCATATCATCTTTAACTTATAAGACTAAATAAAAAGGCCTTAGAAGGTCACCCAAAACTTTGTGATCTGTCTGGCTCCTGCCTTACTCTGTTGCTTTGTCCCACAATTCAATTTAGAGGTTTGTCACACGGAATCAACCCCATAGTTTGTGCAAGATACCCTGACACTTTATACCTTTAGGCCTCTGGTCTATTCCTCCTACCAGGATGCCCCTTTCCACCTGATTACTAGACAAATATTCACTGATTTCTAAGATAAAGTGCAAAGATCACTTCTTTGAAGCCCTTCCTTACTTAAAAGAGGTAGTATATTAACCTCATTGTACCTTTTGTATTGTAACACAGTAAATCCATTATATGCTATCTACACCAGTTTCAGTAGTTTGCACATATTTGTTTCCATAGCTATCTTCTACTGGATTATGAAAGTCTTGAAAACAGAAATCAAAACCCTATTCATTTTTGTGTTCCATTATCCAGCACAATATAGAAGAAAAATCAGTGTTTGTTGAAAATATGAGCATAGGTTTAGAAATGAGGAAAAACTAGGGTAGATCAAGAGATCGCTAGTGGGCTAGGGTTTGTAGCTCAGTATATAAAGTTTTCCTACCATACCTGGGACCCTGCGTTTGATCTTACCACACGACAGTGGGAGTCACTTTGCTGATAGAACGCTTATTTAGCCAGGCATAGTGGCACACACCTGTAATCCCAGCACTTGGGAGGCTGAGGCAGCAGGATTGTTGTGAGTTCGAGGCCAGCCTGGACTACATAGGGAGACCCTGTCTCAAAAAAAAAAAAAAAAAAAAAAGCTTATTTAATAGAAAATGGAAGCTATAGTTGTGGCTAAGATTACAAAGAATTTGAAGTAAACCTAAGAAGTCTTAACAAGAGACTATAATAAGGGGAACCAGTTTGAAGATTTTAGTTCAAGAAAACACCATGGCATTGTAGCAAGAAATATGGTACCAAACCATACAGGGCTATAAAAATTATAAAACATTCTCATCCCTTCCAGAGGAAAGTAAAAATGATCAGAGGTAAAAATAAAGATGGTGGTCTTTTTACTTTTATGTAAGATTTTAAATGATTTATTTTTTCTTGTCCAAAATGCTTTTATTACAAAACAAGAAAAAAAAAAATAAAACCCAGCACATTAAAACTATATTTCATATGAGTTTAGCTTTAAAGAAAAATTTGTAGGTTTTTTTACAATATAATAATTAATTAATTTATTTAGAGACAGGGTCTCACTATGCAGTCCGGGCTGGGCTTGAACTATGTAGCCCAGGTCAGCCTTGAACTCACGGTCCTCCTGTTTCAGCCTCCCAAGTGCTGGGATGACAGGCATGTGCCACCATGCCTGGCCTTCACATTATACTTTAAAAGTATTGTATAACAAAAAAAGAGCAAATTTTGGTACTTCTCATCCATCAAGCTATTATTTAACATGTTTATTCTAATTCTTTTTAAAATAATTCTGTTTTCACTGAATAAAAACAATACAGTACTGAAAGGTAACTGGATAGGCCCAGGATCAAGGATGACCAAAGATCACACTAGGCTTGTCCACAATTTTTTTGAGACAGCGTCTCACTATGTAGTTCAGGCTGGCCTTGAACGTGCTTATGTAGCCCACGCTGACCGCAGACACTTGGTGATCCTCCTACCTCAGCCTCTGGAGTGCTGGGATTACATGCAAGCACCACCTCCACATTTTAGAAAAAGTAAATTTCCAATTTCGTTTAAATATGAGATTAACCAGGAAAAAGATGAACTTGACCCAAATTATTTTCCAGAGGTTGGAAAGAAAGAAAAGTAATCTGGGTAACAATGGCTTCAAAAGGTTATCACCCAGGAAGAAACAAATTTAACTAGAAAGTTCAGGTGCATATTTTATGGTCAACCACTTGAGATAGTACATGAACAACAAATGGTCAATAAATACCACCTGCTGACTTATTCTTTATATTTTCATGTTAGTTTCCCTTTAAAGATGCATAGCCAGCTCTAAGCAAATAAATGAAAAATTCAGACGTTTACAAATGAATGTCTCCATTCTTTATTTTTGTTTCCGTTCCTATCAGACGTTGGATGTGGTATTGTGGACAACAATTTTTCAGAGTAAAAAGCTATTATTACCAAAGTATTATGTGATTACTGCAGAAAAGATAGAAACATTTGGGTAAGCAAAGGTATGCTGGGGAACACCACACTCACTGTCCATGCTTATAGCCCTTTAAAATTATTTTTTAAAAATGAGTATCTAGTGAACTGTTTTGTGACCTTTATCGGCCAGGAGTCTCAGTATCTTTGCACATACAGTATTCACCTGTAGAATTATTTTAAGTGCAGCCTGGCATTTGGATTTACTGCAAATACAGCCAATGTCCTGCCAGTGACGTTTGGCATTTCTCACTATTAGAAATAGCATTGAGAAGCACAGTAGTAACTTTTGAGATCACAATCGTTTCCTTTCCTAGGATTTCAGTGGAATATGATGGCGTCCCTTCTCCGCCAACAAGGGAATATATAAGTATTATCTCACCGCCATCACCAAAGTTCATTGTGCTGGGAGAAAATGCTATCTTAACGCGTTTGCGCAGGTCTTCGACTACCTGCGAGTCACTTAAGTACAGTACCGAGGAGCGTCTCAGAGAAACCTGACAGGACGCCGGCAGCCTCAGATCACAGACCTCCAGACAAAGTGACGCTGCGCAAGGTCGACCGGGTGAGGAGCGCTCTTACGTGACGCCTGCGTGCGAGCGCGTAGGTACGTGCGTGCGTGCGTGCGCGCGCGCGCGCGCTGCCTTCACCGCAGAGGAGTGGTTGCTCCGCGGGGTAAGCCCTGTTACAGGTATCAGCTGCTTCAAGTTCTGTTTACGTCGGTCCCTCCACTCAGATTAGGTAGGGGTTAGGTTTCAAGCCGGAAGCGAGAGGACTCAGGGCTGGATTTCGTCTTGCCTTGCTTTCTTCGTGCACGCGCGATGCTTGTGAGGCCATGCCAGGAGTACTTTACACCCCTTTACTCCCTGCCCTTGGCCTTGTGGTATCCTTGGAGTGATCATCTCGTCCTAACCTCTTGCACAGATGGCTCGGTTGGAAAAGTTGATAGGACTGCAGAGACTGCTTCCTTCAGTTACAAGCTTAGTCAGTTCTCAGCCCAGATCTCCAGACGCTCAATCTCGAGCTCTTGGTCCTGGGTCCCTTTTGAAAAGGCTGGACATCCCTAGGTGTTAAGATGAATAAAGCCCACTTACCCCACCTCAGAAAATAGGCCCTGAAATGTGATTTCTGTACCGCGGACACCAGAAATAATACTTAAAATAAGTTCTAAGTAATCCTTTAAAAGGATGCTTACTGTATTCATATCACGTTAGGAGGAGTGCCATGATAATTTTCATCTTATAATTGCTTTAGTAAATCGAATGAATCCTCAGTTCACTTCGCTGTCCTCTAATATCTGAGAGTAGTTACAGTCTGAAAGGTGGTTTGATGATGAAGTATAAATTAAAATGATGTTACGTTTTCAGTGCTCATTAGCATACTTCAGGCACCTAAAAGAACATCTGTTAGGCTCTTAAGCTATTTACACAATGAATATTTCCTGGCTGTTTTGTGGTTTGTTACAGGAATGTGTTTCTGATCATCCGAAATCTCAACATGTCAAACTGCTTAGGAAATTTCCTAAAAGTCACAAGCGCTCATCTTTTGCATTCAAGATTATGCCAGCAGTTAATAAATAAAAGTAGGTTTTTTGGAACTGTGCCAACATCCAGATTGCATAGGCGGGTTGTCATTACAGGGATTGGCTTAGTGACTCCTCTTGGTGTTGGAACTCAGATAGTATGGGATCGTCTTCTTCAGGGAGAAAGTGGAATTGTGTCACTGGTTGGTGAAGAGTATAAAAATATCCCTTGCCGTGTTGCTGCTTACGTGCCAAGAGGTTTTGATGAAGGTCAGTTCAATGAACAAAACTTTGTGTCCAAGTCAGATGTCAAGTCCATGTCTTCTCCCACCATCATGGCCATTGGGGCAGCAGAATTAGCCCTGAAAGACTCCGGCTGGCATCCTGAGTCAGAAGCTGATCAAATGACTACTGGTGTTGCAATTGGGATGGGAATGATTCCCCTTGAAATTGTTTCTGAAACTGCTTTGATGTTTCAGACAAAAGGATACAATAAAGTCAGTCCTTTTTTTGTCCCGAAGATTCTGATTAATATGGCAGCAGGCCAGGTCAGTATTCGACATAAATTGAAGGGCCCTAATCATGCAGTATCTACGGCCTGTACCACAGGAGCTCATGCTGTGGGAGACTCTTTCAGATTTATAGCCCATGGTGATGCTGATGTGATGGTGGCTGGAGGTACAGACTCTTGCATTAGTCCGTTATCTCTTGCTGGGTTTTCCAGAGCCCGGGCTCTAAGCACGAACCCAGATCCTAAGGTGGCATGTCGGCCATTTCATCCAAAGAGAGATGGTTTTGTAATGGGAGAAGGTGCAGCTGTGCTGGTGCTGGAAGAATATGAACATGCTGTTAAAAGAAAGGCCCGGATCTATGCAGAAGTTTTGGGCTATGGACTCTCAGGTGATGCTGGTCACATAACTGCTCCTGATTCTGAAGGAGAAGGTGCCTTAAGGTAAAGACTGGTTGATTTGTTGAAAATATTTTTTCATGTAAGAGTCTGTTGAACTCTCAAATTAGAGAAAATTGTAATTTCTTGGTATACAGTATTGTTTTTCCATTTTAGATTAATCGAATTGTGTTTTAATTTTTTGCTTGAAATATTTGAACAACTGTACAGAAATTAGATTTTAGTTAAGGCTAGTAAGGTTGTGAAGGTGACTGTGTGTCTTTGCTACTTTTCCAGGCCTCCATTTGTGCTCAGTAACCATCCGTGTGCAGCTTCTGCCCTTCCTCCTTTCTTCCTTTCATCAGACTTAGAGAGTAAAGTCAGCCCTTCTAGATGTGTCTGGTCTTGGCTGTATTCCACTAAGGTTCTGTTGTTCTCAAATCATCCTTCCCAAACTTTAATCACCCAGGGATCTTACCAAAATGCTGATTCTGACTGTGGGTCTGGGGAAGCTCTTGAGATTGTACATTTCTGATAAGGTCTTAGGTAATAGTGATGTTACTGGTCTAAAGGCCACACTTTGAAAAGCAACTTAACTTTTGTAGAAGAGGTAAGTAGTGAATTGAGGTTAAAATTAAAAAAAAAAAAATTCTTGGTAATTTGTTAATGTGTTAGCTAATGGGTTAGCTTTACCCAGTTAAATTAACCAGGTGTTAGCAAACCTTTTCTGTAAAGGGATAGATGGTAGATATTTTGTTTTTGTAGGCTGGCAGATTTCAGTTGAAACTACTCAGCTTTGCCTTTGTACTATAAAAACAGTCATAGACAATAGTACATAAATGAATAGGTATGCCTGTGTTCCAGTAAAAGTAAAGTATTTACAGAAGCAGGAATAGGTCCAGAGCTATATTTTACTGAGCTCTAAACTATACTTTTGAGTTTTCGTAAGTACTTACTGGTGCTAGATATTTCAAGCATAGTAACTAGCTAGTTGCAGAAATAGTTACCTTTCCTGGTGGCTTTTATGGTGGCTCATGCCTGTAATCCTAACACTCTAAAGGCTGAAGCAGGAGAATCGCTGTGAGTTTGAGGCCAGCCTGGATTACATAGTGAGTTGAAAGCCAGACTGAACTGTATAGTGAAACCCTGTCTCAAAAAAAAAAAAATAAAAAAGAAAAAGGTACCTTACACATAGGACTGACTGTTAATAAATATGCAGCCTAGAGATCAACTATGAAAAAGGTGTTGACATCCAAATTATGTTTTTTTTTTGGTTTTTAGGAGGTAGGGTCTCACTAGTTCAGGTTGTCCTTGAACTCATGGCGATCCTCCTGCTGGGATTATAGGTGTCTGCCACCACACCCAGATGACACCCACATTTTTAAAAGTTACTCTAGGAAATTTTTTTTTTTTTTTTTTGGTTTTTCTCCGGTACCAGGAACCGAACTCACGACCTTGCGCTTGCCAGGCAGGCGCTTTTGCCGCTGAGCTAAATCCCCAGCCCCTCTAGGAAATTTTTATTTTTAGATTTCTTTGTTCTTTGGCTCCTGTATTTATTTACAATTTTTCTAGCATAAATATAGAGGATTTTTTTTTTTTTTTTGTATGTATGGTTGTTTTTTGAGTCAGAGTCTGGCTATGTAGTTCAGGCTGGCTTTGAACTCATTATATAGTTCTAGGCTGGCCTCAGATTCTCCTGTCCTAGCCTCCTGAGTGCTGGGATTACAGGAATGCACCACCATGCCCATCGAATAAAGAGTATTTTGAAAGGTATTTGAAGTACCAAAGTAGTAGATTATTGGGAAATATGCCAAGTTTTGCATTTATACATGAGAGAAAACTTAGAACATAATTACAGATATTTTAAATATCTAGCTTCCCTCTTTTCATGAAAAATTCTTAGAAGGAAATTATTCTAATCATGCATCAACATGATTCTTTTCTCTAAGGGGGGAAAAATGCCAATCCAAAAAATAGAATCATATTTTATTTGAAATTATACAGTCTTTAGTGTGTTCAGTTCATGGTGATGAACCAATCTGAGGGACAGGGTGTGACTCTTCACTCCCAAGCAGACAGCATTAACATGTATGGTAATCCAAGATAGGGTTCATCCATTGTCCCTGGATACCTATGTTTCTTTTGCATAAGCCATTCAGGTAAAGAATCTGTTTCTAAACTAAACCTAGTTCTGATAAACTAAACTTAGTTCTGATAAACTAAATTTCTTTTCTTATTAGATGTATGGCTGCTGCTATAAAAGATGCAGGTGTACAACCCGAAGAGATATCCTATGTCAACGCACATGCTACTTCTACACCACTGGGAGATGCTGCTGAAAACAAAGCTATTAAACGTCTCTTCAAAGACCATGCATATGCCCTTGCAATTTCCGCAACAAAGGGAGCCACAGGGCATCTGCTGGGTGCTGCAGGCGTGGTTGAGGCAGCTTTTACTGCACTAGCTTGTTATTATCGAAAACTGCCACCTACTTTAAACCTGGATTGTACAGAACCAGAATTTGATCTCAATTATGTTCCATTAAAGTCACAAGAATGGAAAACTGATAAAAGGTATATTGGACTCACCAATTCCTTTGGTTTTGGTGGTACAAATGCAACACTTTGTATTGCTGGCATGTAGGACAAATATACTGTATTATTAAATACTGATTTTTAAAATGTAGATAGAAATAATATATATGCATATATTCACATAACAATACTGAAATACCGTTTATCTATATTAAGGTTTCTCAACCTTGGGAATGTTGGTATTGGTGTAGGATAATTCACTGTTGGGTAAAAGAGGGCTGTCCTGTACATTGTGGGATGTTTAACATCTTGATCTTTCCTCCTAGATTCTAGTAACAGCTCCTTCCCTAATCTTGACAACCAGAAATGTCTAAATATTGCCAAATGTTTTCTGGAAGACAAAATAGCCCACCCATGAGACTTGCTGATCTGTTTTCCTAATATTCTAGATCAGACAACTTCCATGACATTTCGTGTACTTTTATCCCTTTCACAGATACTTAGAGAGTAGCTCTTTTTCCGAGGCAGGGTTGCTGTATGGTACAATTCTAGGTATATTATTCACATACAGTATATAGAAGGGAATATATAACTACAAGTTTCCATCATTAGTCAACATTCTCTCAGTCAGCCTATATTGATCTATTTGCCCCTTGCCTATTTCACCTTGTTTTCTTTGTATTACCCATATTGTAATTCAGTAAGTTAGTCACATTTTCCTAACTCCCCAAGCTCTTGGTTTCCTGAAAGTAGGAAGTAAAAATGGATTGTATTTCTTACTGTTCTTGTATTTATCCTGATACCAAATGATTAACGGAGATAAAGATCTTTGAAATAGAAATTGTTGGTGACTCAGGTCACATCCATTCAGCCTACCTCTGTACAGTTATGGCAGTATCCTGTGTTCCTCCAGCTTGCCACCACAAGTGCTAATGGTCCTGTTTTTGCTGCCTTGAGGATTTCTCAAAAGCTAAAGTATCTGACTCATTCGCAGAGGCTGTAAGTGCTTGGGATGGGGTTGGCTCACCAGAGGCATCACTTGGCCAGTGAACATGACAGCTGGTAAGTGCCTCAGCCTCCCTTTAGAGGAAGAGCTGCTGTTAAGGGATCCCAGTGAGCTGGAGCTTCAGTTATTCCCAAGTAAACCACTTTTTGTCAGGCTGTGCTTTTTGGGTGATTTAAACTAAGACAAAGTTTTTGTTGTAATAGAAGTCTATCAGTGGGAAAGAGTGAAAAGGGATAAATGGAATGTATGTATTCTAGCACAAATGTACAGGATTTTCCACATTTTAGTAGTCTCTATATATATTGCCTACCCACTGACCTTGACCATGACCTTGACCCTAAATGCCTAACACTCCAGCCATATGTTCACATAGTTTTAGAGTTTATATCTCTATGTCTCCCAAGAACCTCATGTTCTCATAGGTGGGCCTTTTGGGAAGTGATTGGGTCATAGGATCATGATACTTCTGTGTAGATTAGTCCACTGATGGGGAGCTAAATGGGTAACCTTCTCTCTGATTCCTGCCTGCTATGCCATGAGCAAGCCTCCTCTGCCATGCTACCCTGTCTTAGAACCAGCGAACTGTGGACTGAAACCTTTACAGACTGTAAACCTTTCCTCCTTTGTGAATGTTGAGTATTATGTCTCTGATGAGAAAGTAATTAAGATACACAGCTATGTAAATCAACTTTAATTCCCACTAACATACAGTGGTTCAACTGAAACTTATTGGGTGCTAGCACAGACCTGGCTTTATACTGGTCACCAATGATAAATGGAATGTTTCAAGGAAGATTTTCTAAAGGAAGATGTGTATGTATGTGGTACAGATAGGTCTCAGATTAAAAGGGAAGATGGGAAAGGAAAGATGTTATAACCAGGGGGAATCCAATGTGAAAAGGTCTAGAAGTTAGAACATTTATGCTAAACTTAATTACAATGTACCCTAGAGAGGAGGAGTAGGAAATACTGTCAGAAAGTCTGGTGGAAGTCAGTTTCATTAAAGCAGTAAGGGTAATGGGGAGCCATTTGAGTTTGGAAATGGTATGATGGCTTTGTAAGGCTTAAATATGTTTAGGCTAAACTACATTTTCAGCATTCCTGTTACTTTTGTATTGGTTAGGGTTGACCATAAGAGATTTCTTATGGGAGGTTGGAGGATGGAAGTGAAGCAGCTGCTGTTTTTTTATATTTTGAGACGGTCTCACTATGTGGCCCAGGCTAACCTCGAACTCACAGTGATCCTTCTGCCTCAGCTTCTTGAGAGCTGGAATTACAGGCATGCACCACCACCCCCAGCAGCAGCTGTTGGTTTTTGTAGCTGATACACGTTGTTTATCTCCTTCTCCTGGATCCTCCTTCAGCATCCCTCATTCCTGAACAGGCAAGTGTTTAGCTTTATGATAATGAGGGATTGTAGCTTCTGCCTATACCACCCAAGTTGGAAGGAACAGCTTGACAGATTTCAGCTGTTTTTGTGTTTATGTCTGTAGGGAACTTTACTTTTGTCTTACCAACTCCCAGCCTTGTGGACTTCAAATTCCAGCATCAGAAGATGGTAGGTGAAGATAACAGTACTACAGAAGCTGTTTAGCTAGTTCTTAAAATTGTGTAGAATTTTTCTCGATATCATAGTGGTTCTGTTTCTCTAATTGAATCCTAACTGATAAATGTGAAGAAGGGTGAGAGTTGTTAGGTGACATAGTTCACATTTTCTTTTAAAAATATCACTTTGGCCCCAGAGTGAAGGACAGATTGGAAGAAAGCTTGGTTCTCTCAAGGAAATATACTCAGAAGGATATTGTGGAGTCTATGCTAAAAAACGTGGTAGTCTGGGTGCAGCAGAATATCTTCACCACGTTTCTTCCAAAGTTGAAAATTGTGTGTTTTTAAAAATCGACTTTATCAAGGCATTATTTATATACAGTAAACGCATCCATTTTCAGGGTAGTTCAGTGGGTTGATAAACATGTACATATGTGTAACTATCACTTGTGGCAAAATAAAGAATGTTTCATCACCCTCAAAATTCCATTGTTCCTCTTTGCCATCAATCCCCTCTGGAGCCTTAGACTATCACTGAAGAGCTCTTTAAGACTAAGTAAGATTTGTTTTTTCTAAAATTTCATATAAACAAAGTTACACAGAACCTACTTTTTTGTGTGTAGTTTCATATTTTTGAGATTTATCCATGATATTACCAGTAATTCATTCCTTGTATTGCTGATGTTTTTTACTCTTTAGGCAACTTAGATACCCTTGACTTTTATTGTTTCTAGTTCCCACTTAACTAATTTTTTAAATTTTTACTTTATCTCATTATTATTTTTTAAGGGAATATGTATTGCCTCTTGAACAGAACAAAGATTAAGATTTAAACTGTAGAAATGAGGTAACTTCAAAGCAAATAATCTTTACCCTGAAAATAGCAAATTTAAAAGAGTATAACAAAGGACCCACGTTTATGTGAGTTATTGAGATTATTAAGCACACTGCTAGAAATTTGAAAAATTTCCTATGGCCTAGCACCACGAGTATATAACAAATTTGGATCCAAGTATTTCATGCCCTATGTCTTTACATTTAAAGAAGAAAAATAATAAAAGTAATTGTTAGCTCTTACATTAGTCCAGATTCTCTGAGAAACAGATACCAAAACAATTTCCTGTGCAAGAAATTTATTAGGGAAACACTTATGCAGGATAAAGGAGGAGAGACTTTGATAAAAGCCTTAAACCATGAAGAGAGGCACAAGAATGAAAGAAAATTGGAAAAAAAATAAGAAAAAAAGAAAAAATTGGGTAGGCAATGTCTCAAACTGAAGTGCCATACTATGAACGTGTTTTGATCAGTGTCTGGGAGGGTCATGATTGAAAATCTCTCATTAAAGAAGTTTGTCATCTGTCAAGAATGAACCCGCATTACTACCCTCGCTGTGCTTGGCCACTGGCTGGGAGCTACCAGGGCATACTGGGACATTGGTCATTTTTCATGTCCATTATAATCCACCCCTTGCACCACCGAGAGAAGTCTGTCCAGGGTTGGGGTGGTGGGCAGCTTCTTTGTGTGTTCCTGTTTGTGGTTCCTGTTTGTGTCTGTCTAAGGAACAAGTTTTAGAAGACAGAATTTGGTCATGATGCTGCAGTTAGTCTAAGGTATATAGCTAATATTTATGATGCTGCAGTTAGTCTAAGGTATATAGCTAATATTTATCCTCTTCCAAATCCAATATTCATTCTCACCCTCGTTTATCATCTTGGCAGGTCTGGTGGCTTCCCTGGTAATGTGACCTAAACCTTTATTCCTATAGCCTTTTCAGCCTGGAATGTATAGCCTTTGCAAGACTAGAATGTCTGACACTGTAGATAGCTAGAGTTGCAAAGATGGGAAACAGAAAATTCCTTATAGTGACTGCATCATTAGAAGTGATGGTAAATGGAGCCACTCCTATTTTCCAACCCTCTTGGTTTTTGAACTCATGTGATCTTTTTACTGGAGCTTAGCCTCATATTGAGATCTTTGGTTTTTAAACATCTGCTGCATCCTGCAGATGGCACCATGTCCATTCGGAATGCTGCCTCTGAGTTGGCGACTCCTGCATATCTTTAGAAGGCTGTTCTACTTTCTTGGGGGCTGGTTGCTTCTGAGTAGTGTGATATATAATTTAACCTATGGCCCTAGGCCTACTCCCATGAGCTGTATTCTTTTCTGTACATTACACCCCACTTCTCTGATGCTCTGTTTTAGAGGATTCTGTGCTTGTGGCTCAGTTATTCCATAAGCCTTCAGACAGTGGTTGTGGCTGAAGCTCTGTGGGCAGGGAAGGACAACCTGTATGTAAAATACAGGTGAGGATGAACCATAGGTACTTTCATTTGAGCTAGATGGATATTCAGAGACAACAGTATCTAGATCCATCTTGGTAAGTGGGAGTCTCTTCTTGAGCCTTACATAGCTTCCATCTCTGCCATTTTTATCAGCTGCCTTTTGTTGCAGGTTTTGAGATGATCACTGGCAAAGTTTAGCTAGCATCATTTGGCAGTCACTTGGTTATTCATTTCCTCTACTGTAGTGGATGCTTTCTGGTAGGTACAAATGTGTGATCCTGCAGTCTTTACCCTTCATAAACTGTCACATTCTTCTAATATTCCTCTACTTGAAATATTCCTCTGTTCTGTCTCTCCTTGTTCTTTTATACTCCTAACCAAAATCCAGGCCTTTGGCCACTACCCAGGAATTTTTGTATATTTTTACCTCTTGGACCACTTCTGCTGTACAAATTGAGTGACAAAAATGCAGCTCTGCCTATTGGGGGTATTTTGCCTCAGCAGTGTCTTTTTGGTCCACCTCTGAATGTCTGTCTCTCTGTCTGTCTTTCTTTCTCTCTCTCTCTCTCTTTTCTTTCTCTTCCTTCCTTCCTTTATTCCTTCCTTCCTTCCTTCCTTCCTTCCTTCTTTTTTGAGATAGGTTCTTGCTATGTAGTTCAGGCTGACCTTGAGCTTACTGTGTATCCCAGGCTTGCCTTGAACTCTCAGCAGTCCTCTTGCCTCAGTCTCCCCAATGCTGGGATTACAGACGTACTGTACTACATCTGGCGCAAATGTCTCTTTAATGTAGCTCCCATCCACTTTTCTACTTGAACTCCAGCAAGAAATACTTTGAAGGTAAAATCAGCAGGATTTGGTAATGAATAATGTATTTCTCCCCCACATTCACCTTCTTTTAAAATCTTCTCTATTGTCTATCTTTCTTAAAATATAAATTTCATCAGAATAGGGATTTTTATTGCTTCCTTCACTGCTGTTATCCTTGCTTCACAGAACATTGTCTGGAACAAAGTTGACTCAATAAGCATTCATTGAATGAACAAATGAGTAATTTTAATAAATTGCTTTGCTAAATACCTACTGATTGGCTTACCATTCTTACTGCCTAGCTCATATCACAAGAATGATAAGAGTTATCCCTGATTCCTCCCCTTTCTTCTTTCTTTTTCCTAATCCTGCAGCAATTCTAGCTACTTATACCTACAAAATACTCCCTTCATTTCCACCAATATTACCATCCTTCTCTGGACTGCAGTGGCCAACTTTTTGATCTTTCTGTTTCCATTACCCACTGCTTTCTAAAACACCTTTCTTGCATGATTTATTGATTGATTGATTGATTGATTGATTTTTTTGGTCTTTTTGAGACAGGATCTCACTATGCAGTTCAGGCTGGTCTTGAGCTCACTTTGTAGGCCAGGCTGGCCTCGAACTCAAAACAATCCTCTTGCCTCATAGTGCTGGGATTACAAGTGTGCACCACCACACCCGGCCTGAAACACCTTTCATCTTATCCTAACTGCAAGTTGATCTGTTCATGATATAAATTAGATCATGTCATTTTCCTGCAGAAAAACATTCTAAAGGCTTCCCATGTGATTTAGGATGAAATTTGAACACCTGACCATGGTCTGCATGGTCCCTCACTAGACATGACCTCCACTTGTATTTTTGCTATTTCTCAAATGCAGCCCATTTGTTTCTGCCTTTATATTTGCTCTCTCTTGGCCTGGATCACTGTTTTATTTTTAAATTTATATGAACATTGACTTCCTCTTTTTATTTAGGTTTCAGTACACAGATCTCTCAACCAGGGAGGCCTCCTCTAGCCACGCATTCTAAAGTACCCCTTTTTCTTTCTTCCCACTCCCTTTTCATCTCAGAGCCCTGTTTTGTTTCTTTATAGCTCATACTATCAAAAACGATCTATTTTTTATATGTATCTTTTGAACTTTTAATTTCCTTCTAAGAACATTCCTCTTTACAGAGGAAAAAACCATATTGACATTGTGAACAAAAACAGTATTCCTGAGCAAAGCAAAATGTGTGGCACACACGTGTGCATACATACTACTCATGTTCAAACGTATATTCCAATACAAGCAAAGAAAAACTTCCCAACAATTATTGAAAATATGTCTAGGGCCTCAAAGAAGAATGGTTTATCCATTTTATTAGAAAACTAAGACAGTTATGGTTACTGTCAAGAGTATGTGCAGAAATTAAAACATAGCCACAAGTAGTACATACCAAAGTGCTTTTTCTTTATCTAGTTACTTGGAATGCAGCTTTGATGTTTGGGACCAGCTTTGATCTTTGGTAACACTCTTCCCAACAAGGGAAGGGTGATAGTTGTCATGGTAATTTCTTTAGAATTGTTTCATACCAGCAACCTAGCTTGGATTATATGAAGAGACTGTGGTATGATCAAAAGATAGTGAATATTTAAATTTTTAAAATTTATTACAGTAAAAGATACATTGCCATTAATGCCCCTCAAAATAGTCCTCCTTGCTTTGAACATACTTATTCCATTGTGGTTGCCACTTTCTGAAGCAGTTCTGGATGTCTTCTTTTGTGTGTCCAATGACATGGCTATCTTGCTGTCCTGAATCAGTTAAAAAATGGTATTTTTCATGGTCATATTGAAGTTGCATGGTGCTGGATGAGGTGGATAAGGACACACTGTAATTTTTTATGAGCCTTGCCTTTGTGTTGGAGGCACTCAGCAGCAGCATTCACTGTATCTTTGATCACATCTCTTTGCCACTCATGAAAGAGGACTTGCAGAACTGCTTCAGAAAGTGGCAAGAATGATGGGATAAGTGCATTTGAAATGAGGGGGACTCTTGAGGGAATTAATGCCAATGTGTCTTTTGCTGCAGTAAATTTCTTAATTTTATTTAAACATGTGCCATAGTATATAATCACATCTCATAAATAAATACGTTATCTTGAACAAAAATGGCTCTAGCTGAAGATTTAGTCAATTGTTTTCTGTACTGGGTCACATAGTAAATATATTTGGCTCGGTGGGCCATATGGTCTCATTTGTAACTTCTCGCTCTGCCCTTGTGTAAAAGCGGCCATAGAAAATATGTAAATGAATGCGCATGGCAGGAATTGGCTGGCAGGGGCCACATGTGGCCAGTGGATTTTAGTTTGGTAGCTCTGGTTCTACCTGCAAGGAAGCACATTCCCT